TGTGTCACAAGATAGATGTATGAGAATTTGGGGACACAGAGAATGTGAGGCCACCTGCTGTGTGTCTATGAGAAGCATGCTTTCTCACATGTGAACTGAGCAGCAGCACTTCATTATGGACAAACATAAGATCGGAAGTTACAGACCCCCTGGCGTCTCTCCTAGATCCTCCCTCACAAGCTGACGCCCTGACCAACTTCGGGACATGTGGGTGCTGAGTATCTTCAGGCTGTACATTGCTCAGCCTAGGACAGTTTTCTCTGAGGCTTCCCTTTTAAAGGATAGTCTAGGATGGGTCCTGATGGGAACTGGGTGTTTGAGCAGAAATGACAAACAGAGACCAGGAGCAAGTGTGGAGTGAGTTCAGAGGTCAGGGCACAGGGACACAAGGTGGGAAAGTTCTGCTCAGGTGTTTGATGGTGACTGACTTGATCCTGTGAACTAATAATAGTGGAGCATAATCCAAGGAATGAGCTAGAAAAGAGTGAGGGGAACAGGCAGTGGTTGTTGGCTTTGGCAGCAAAGCCATGTTCTCTATCCTTGCTCTTTGATGTCCGTTCTCCCACTGCACCTGTATGGACCGTGTGTGTTTGGTGGACGTGAAATAAAAGTTGGAAAAGTTAAATTTCTGCCATACGTGAACATTGTTATTAGCACCCAGGATCTAGAACCAATTTCTGAGAGGAGTTTATCTCTGCAGAGCAGGGTAAGGTCTTAGGCACAGCTCTGACGTCCAGCAGGATCACAGTATGATCAAAGGAAGGTGCTAAAGTCAGTTTGAAATCAGCGACTCCCTTGGTAGAGAGAGACCTGTGAGTGCTGTTAAGAGGACAGAACTGGTCAGAGGGGAAGGCTGAGGTGGCTCTTATATAAAGGGAGCATGAAGAGGGTGGAGCAAGATGGCCAAGTAGAGTAGTCTGGCGCTTGTCCCCCTCCCCACAAAAGAGACCAAAGCAACAAACAACTGTACTTGGACTGGAATAACTGAAGAAATATGCTGCAGAGCACGAGGGAGTGGAGAAACCTTATGGAACACAGAAGAAAGCACCGTAGAGAGCAGAACTACAGGGACTGGCTTGGGGTCAGACAGAGAAAAGGCAAGCTGGAAAAACCCCATCTGTTTACACTGCTACCACAAATGTCACTAATCCCTGCCAGAGGAGGGTTCCCCAGTCCTCACAGGTCCCAAAGCCACTTGGAGAGTAACTGGGAGTTTGTGCAGCTTTACCACCTCATAGTAGAAGACCAGGGAGAGGAACCTAACCCCAGCCTAAGCAGTTATGTTACAGTGTCATTTTGAAGCTAAACACTTGGCTAGAGTGTAGCCTGCCCGGGCAGCTGGTGGAAACAGTCTTCCTCTATCCTCAGGGCCCACCTTCATTCCACCACATTCACAGGGGTGTCTGCAGGACCATGACTCCAGGTGCCTGGT